AAAAAAAAAAAAAATTAAAAAAAAAGAATTATATAAAATTAAAATAATTTAAAAAAAAAAATTTTTTTTAAAAAAAGGGAAGGAAGAGAAGAATATAATAAAAAGAAGGTACGACTGTTATGGGGCATTCTTGGTGGATACCTAGATGCTCTGTTTTATTATAGCAGCTGCTCACTAGAGCGTATGGCTTGTTATATAAAAGTGTTCGTTCTGTTAACCTCTATTAAAGTAGACGGATTATTAATTAATAGTATATTAACCTAACGTCTATTTTGCTTATACTTAGTGAAGTCGTGTGCGAGGTCCCAAGTTGAGGTTCGCGATAGTTCTTATTTTTAACTTCCTTTAACAAAACTATTATTAATTGTTATATATTATTACTCTATCCAATAATTAATTGCTTACTCTATTATTCACTATTATTATTACTTGTGAAATATATTTTCGTATAATAAGTAGTACCTACAATTCAATTTCAAACCGACTTTGTTATTTTTATTATCTTTTCCTTTCGTTGAAGGGGGAGATATATTAAGTCTAATAATAATTTATTAAATTTATTAACTATTATTCAACTTTTATCTTTACCGACTAAATATTTATATATTTACTCTTCAGAATCCCCTTTTTTTACTATTTAATTACTATTTAATTAAGTCCCGAAGCTAAATTGAATAATATTTAAAATTAATTAAGTAAACCACCGGATAGCTTTCGACTTATAGGACGAATATTTAATACGTAAAGTATATTAGATTATTAAATTTATTATATTTGAATTATAGTTTTACTATAAATAGAAATTCTAGTAGTTAATTGCTAAATTACTTATTGAAACTGCCTAATTATACTTAAATAAAGAAATAGGCCTTATCGAAATTAAACCCAATTAGGCCGCTAATACTAATAACGATATTTATAATAAAGAATAGATTATTAATTTGGATATAGTAGACTATAAAATTTAATAAATTTCATGTAAATACTATTAATTGGTTGCTAATTACCTATTTCTAATATATTAAATTTGGTTATTTCCTACTAAAGAAGGTATATTAGTATAATTCCGGAAGAAGAATTAGAAATAATTTATAATTAGAATTAAAGAGAATAGTATAATTCTTAATATTATTATTTAGGTACTAATTCCTCCTAATACTAGTAATATTACTACTTCAATAATTATTAAAGTTTATTCTTCGCTAACTAATTTCTGAAATATAATTAGGATAATTTATATATTAAATTATATCAACTTAATATAAATTCCTATATTACCTTCCTTACTACCTACTCCTATTAAATAGTACGCTTAATTAAGTTTAATTTAACGACCCTTTTCGTTTATTAAATTAATAGTATTGTAAATGAATTTAATTATTAAAATTACTATTAATATTATTTACTAATTAGTTATTAATCCTACTATTAAATATTTTAGAAATTCTATATAAGTTAAAACCCTTTTATATTTTGCGTAGAAATAATAGTAGAAGTAGGTAAAATAATATTTAGGAACTATTCTTGCTAGTAATTTCCTAGCCTATTTTATCAATTAGAATTATAATATTATATGTTTTGCCTAATGAAATACGAAGTCCGGAGGTAGATTTCCGAATCTTCTACTTTATTTTGTATAATTTATTTAAAATACTATACGTTTGGTTTTAAATAGTATAAAACTTAATTTTAGTCTCCCGGCCCTTACTATTGCGAAACGTATTGCTTTTTAATTTTAAAAGAATTCTACAATTAATTATAATTAGTGCTCTAGCGGTCTTATTAGTCTTATTAGCGAAATAGTTATAATTAGCGTTAGAGACCTTTATAATACCGCTAATTTAATTAGCTAAATAAAAAATCTTTAAATTAATTACGTTAATTAATAACCCCTATTCGATAATATTAATTAGTTTTCTACTTATCTTCGCAATTATATACCGCCTCTAACTATTAATCGCTATATATCTAGTTAAATTATACGAATAAACTCCAAATATTTAATAGATTAGGTTCTAACTAATAAAAGAGAAGTAAAATAGTAGGAATATTAATTCTATTAATAAAGGATACTTTTAGTAATATTGAATAACGGCGGTTACTTTCCCCCTACTATTTTAAAGGTCCTTACCTTTTCAGTATACTTAGCTTTCTACTAAAGTACTTTTTCTATTAATAATCCGTAATCTATCCGCTTTAATTCTAATTCTAATATTTTTAACCTATTAATTAAAGTTAATAGTAATAGTACAATAATAGACAATTCGGTACTTTATAAAATGTTTAAAGATTTATATAATTATATTAAAAAATTAAAAGATTGAAATTAAATTTTTACTAATTTTATCTCTAAAATTAATATAGGTTATTATTTATTTATTAAAAATAAGCTATTTAAAGTTATTAATATTGGAATATACTTCTTTAATATAGAACCGGATAAAAAGAAGAAGGACGTATATTAGGATAGTATAATTAATATTTATATAGCTTTTTACGGGTTTAAAGATATAATTAAGGGGTATTTAAAGGATTATCCGGAAAGATGTTAGATTATTACTAATAACCTTAATTAATTATTTCGAAGTACGGTATTATACTAATAGAATTTTTCACTTTCTGAAGACGAATATAATAATCTTCGTAGTAATTTTAATAGAACTCTTAATACGCTTAATTTAGTCTTTTGAATTAAGTTTTATAATATGTAGAAATAGTTAAATACGAATAAATTTATTATAGAATTATATAAATCGGACGAATTATCGTTTTACGATTATTTAATTGTACTATTTAAATACATTCGCTTTTGGGGAGACATCTCTAATTTCTAATTATATATTTACTTATAGAATAGTTTGTACTTTATAATATAAATTACGTACGTTTCTCCAAAATAGAACGTTCGTTTTAGTAATTAAATTAGTAAGGTTAAATAAAAGGTTTTACCTATATATAAATGATTTTTTAAAGTACTAAAAGCTAATTAATTAATTTATTACGCAGCTAATAATTCTAATAATAAGGACGATATTTTTAATATCTATACTAATTTTTAGGGAAACTATAATAATAGTAAACCTTTTAAGAAAATTTTTTATCTTATAATAATA